TTGTTAGTTTTTGACTGAAGTGGGCCATTTGGAAAAAATACTGCACTCACAAACCAGCTTCTTTTCATTTCATGCCAAACGTTCACCAGGGAGCTTTTATTACAGGCTCTGGGGGAAACTAACAGACACCAGCATTGTGTTGCAGTCAGAGAACTAAAGGGATAACAAGAACAATCCAGGCAGGATTTTCCAAGAAAAGATCCAGGTCATTGTACATTGTTCAGAACAAAGGGTGTGAAGGTGGATTAGAGAACGCAGGTTTCAGATGTTTGTTCTAACTCAGAGGACAGACTGGAGACCCTCTCTCCAGCGTCTCCTGGGTCTGTGGATGCTGTTGTTGGCTGGTTTCACCTCACCTCCCACCTCCCTGGGTTCAAAGCTGTTTGGCTATGGTTGACCTCTCATTTTAGTGGGTTTCTCATACTGTGATTGTACTGAATGTATTCTGTAAATGTAATACTTTTTGGTCAATAAGTAAAATCGTAAAACCAGCAACAAAAATATGTTAGAATTCCCGGAATTTATATGCACAATCTCCAGAGCTCCAGGATCAATTTACTCGTCCCTCTTTTGAGTAAATTTAAACAGTGACACACCTGAGAGGATAAACCACAGTTTCAGATGCAAGTTAAAGAACTACAGGAATTTTCTTTTCCATCTGTGGACCCTGTGGATTAGAGAAAATCGACAATAAATTCAAACTTATGCACCCCGTTGTTTGTTTTATAAATCAGAAAATGTTTATAAAATTGTTCCATTCTTTAAAAGTGAAATCCTAAAATTAAGATAAAATTATAGACATCATGACTGTGTTTAATTTTTAAACTGGGTCTTTACATAATTAATTTTTCCAGAAAGCAGAAGACATTGAGACTTTAACTTTGTGTTCCTTGTACTTTTGCACAATCAAAATATGTATTCTTTGATTCGGGTTTATATCCTTAAGTCTGGCACCATTTGTGGGTAATTCATTTTAACACTTAACCAAAATATTACCTCCTATTTCTAATGGAATGAAACAGCCAAACATTCCATGCATAATAAAGTTTAACCCTTTTACAGACTTAAGAGATGAGGTCCATTCTAAATCATGAGCTTTTTACACAGTGCACAGTCCTGTGTGCTTTTATGAGGAATTTTTTCTATGGTTTTAGGAACTCGCTGTCTGATGGGACACCCACCCTTCCAATCCCCCCCATGCTCCCACTTCCACACTTTCTGACCATGACATCTGCAAGGCACATCTTGAGCATTGTGCTAAGACTGCATGAGGGTTAAAGGCTAAAAATACAAAATCATCTAAAATTGTTTAAAGTCAGGAATTTTGTAATTATTTAAAAAATTACCTGGTAACATGTCGTGATTAAGGAGTAAAAATAAGAATATAATTTTAAGCAAACACCTAACTAAACAGCCCTCAGGTCAAAACACCCACTTCATTGATCAGAGGCAGCTCAAAATTCAAAGTGGTTGTATCATATTACCCTGAAATGTAATAAAAAACATGTGCTGTGTTGCAGCATATTGGTCTACCAATGTTCTCTCCAACAAAACGGCCAAAGAGGATTTACCAGATGACCCACGGAGTTCTGAACCTGCCCCGCAACCCTATACTTGACTGGACGTTTGGACACTCTCTGATCAGCTGCCATGTAGAACATCACCTCTTCCCCTTTCTGTCAGACAACATGTGTTTGAAGGTGGAGTTACCATTACTGCCTTTGGGATCATTGTCCTGTTAATGATCCAATTTGGGGCAAGCTTCAGCTGTCTCACAGATGGCCTCACATATGACTGTAGAAACGTTTGGCATACTGAGGAGTTTTATGGTCCTGTGATCATGCATAACCCCTGTATTGCTTCATTCTGTTCAGGTGAAGCCTGTTGTGTCCAAGTACCTGACTGAAAAGAAGCTTCCTTACCAGGAGGACACCTACCTGTCCCGTCTTCACCTGTTCTTTACCAAATATCAGGAGTTGATGGTGTTCGCTCCACCCATCACAGAGCTGGTGGGAGTCCAATGACTAAGGGAGGATGATGTCATCTTTACTTAGGACTTATGACATGTTCCAGCTTATATTGTGCTGATTAAAACTGCCTTTAAAACCCAAGAAAGGTATGAAAAGAATATGTACTGTAGACAGCTTAAATTATGAGAGGTTTTTAAAACACTAACAGACTTTAAGAGTTACAGTTTAGCTGTTGATTTAATCAAAGACACCAAGATTTAACCCAAAACATTTTCTCTAATCAGCAGCATTGCTCTAACACTTATGTTTCCACTTGTTTCTGTCCTATAAATATTCTGTTCATTATCACCCTGACTTACCTTGAACATGTACTGTCTACTACCTCAGCTAAAGTTAGGAAATCATGTTTCCATTTTGACAAAGCTGCTAAAGGTGGTGAAACTTTAGTTACTAGGCAATGATGGAAGAGTGCTGCATAAACACTCAACATGGTGTAAATGGGATAGGTTTGTGTGTCCAAAAGCACAAATCTTTTCACAATACAGGTTATCAAATTGTTCTTTTTGGCCTTGTTTAAAGGCATGTACCAGTGCTATAATGGTCAAAGACATAATACCTCCAATAGAACATTCATTTTGCTAATTTTAAGTAGAAGTTTGGCAAGAAGTGGCCAGTGATGTAATATTATTTTGGAGCCAATAATGTAACATTCTGTATCATAAGTTGTTATGGTATCATGGTGAACCATAAGGAAAAAATGCAATAACTGCGTTGGTTCATCCTGAATCTAACAAACAAATATACTTTTTTTTGCAAATTATTTAACATTCTTCCATAAATGACAGTATTTGCAAATAAGTAATATTCTAATTCAAAATGTCGTACTAAAGGTAATCATCAGGTTGTGCCTTACAGAAATATTTTAGGTGAGGATCACTGCAAAATGTGTATCCTTTGAGTAGTTAGTTGTCTTACAACCTGAAAGTTATGGTTTACATTCTGGCTTCCATCCCTGCTACATGTCAAAGATTCTTTCATTGCCATGTCATTAATATTTTCTTACTATATTGGACAAATCCTATGTAATATAAACCAAATTTTTTATTACATTATTGGCAAGTCATTTGATGTATTTCATTCAAAATTTTGATGTCATCGGATAACAGACTCCACCTCCAGAAATAGTGGCTACATCTATTTTTTAGTCACCGCACATTCTGTTGAAACCAGTTAATCTCATCTATCGTCATCCTTTAAATCTTTAAAGCACAAACCTTCTCTAAAAAATTCTGGAATGTGAGATCATGGAACCTTATTGCAGAGGATTAAGCCTTAAACTCAGGCTTTTAATCAGTCATATGCTAAAACTTAAAAGTTTTAATCCAATTCTGCACATGTCTGACCTGGTGCATAGTACTGCCATTATTTAGTTTCTCTATGTCTGTTATGCTGTGTGGCATTTTTTGCACTATTTCCATGACTTTCATAAGTTTCTTTGTTTGGTCATCTGTAATTTGGTCTTTTATCTTTGGATTTAAATGCAATAAACTAAAAGCTTCATTTTGCCTGTATCCTTTGTTCACTTCTTTTCACTTTTCACTAAGTTTTATGTTCAAACTTAGTTGAACATAAAAAGCAAAAATGAAATAAGCAAGCTAACTCTTGGAGCAGACCACAAGATGTTATAAAATGTCTCAATATACTATATGAATATTTTATCACTATATGACTATTTCTTAAGAACGAACCAGACATTTATTGTTCTTGCTGTTACATGACAACAGAATAAAGCCATGTTATTATGTAACTGCGGCTTCTTGCTGGGGGTGTGTCACAGTGCCAAGCTGTTGTGTTCCTTTACTTTTATCCAACACTGAAATCCTATATGGACTTGTGCCTTTGTGTGAGGTCCTACATGCATACGGCAGTGGCACCCAACAATACAATAAGTCCAGATCTCAGCTTTTAGGCAACAGACAAGAAAAAAAAAGACAAGAGTACCACTTTAGGATATTTTATTACTTATAGCTTAATCTTCTTTTTCTTATCAAATTAAAAGCTGAAATTGTCAGAAGTTGTAACAGGTCAGGTTTTGGTGTATCTATATAGTCTGAACTATATATAATCTTTCAAAAATAGAATATTTTAGCATAGCATAACATGACAATCAAATTATTAAAGTCACACCTTATAGCAACATTTTTCACCGTACTGTTTCAGACAATTTTTGAAAATAGAACGACGTACAAGAGCACTTCAAAAGGGAATCAGTTCGGTGTCATTCACAGTAAAAGTCAAAGGTGTCTTTCAGGAGCTGATTCAGTGATTTGAGTCAGCTGTGTTGGAGCAGGGGCACATTTCGCATCTGCAGGATACTGACCCTTGGAGACTGGAGTTGAACAACAATTATATAAGTGAACACAAAGCAGTTCACAAACACAATAATGTCATCTATCAATCACATTTATTTCCTCTGGATAAAATTCACAAATTAACATGAACTTGTTCATGATGAGACTATGGATTTAGATCAGTAATTGATTTTGGAAAATTCCTGGCTACACCACTACTGCACACTTGGTGGCAGCACAGATCAATTCAAATTCCTAAGAGATTCAGTATTTGCATCTGCTCTTGATTTTTAAGCAGCAGACATTTGAGTCGTTTAAAGGCGGTAAATTCCTCAGCAGGCCCAGTGAAACATGCATCATGACAGATGCATTTTTTAGTTGAACAATGTCATGAGTCTCTAGTCAATTTGTCTTTGATAAAAGTCTAAGGTTTTTATCTTATGTACCATTTCAAAGCTAAAAGAAGCTCTCAGATGTTCCGGAGCTTCTGCTGGTTTGTGGTCTCCACCCACTGAAGAAGGGGAGGGCTATGGGTGTAAGTTTGCATGAGAATGTTTAGTGGGAGGTTTCTTTTAGACTGAAACTATGAGCCCTGAATGAAGGTGTGGTTTTGACGCTCTTCAGTTTGAACCAGGAACTGAGAGCTGATAAAAGCGGCTCAGCCTGTTATTTTCAGAGGGTTGGGAGAGACGCAGGCAGAGACATGGCAGAACCAGCAGTGGTGGAACTAGCTCCTGCTCCCAAACAGCAGAACCTGTGCGGGGTCTGCTCAGGTGAAGTGAGCGACTGTAAGCCCACAGCTTGTGGTCACTCCGTCTGTGTTTCCTGTCAAGAAGACAAAACCAAAGGATGTCCAAAGTGCCTTCAGAGTCCTGCTGTCAAACCAGCTCCTGACAATGGGCCTAAGCAAAATGGAACAGCTGCTGCTTCTCCTGAGAAAACCAAAGAAGAACAAAGTCAAGACCCAAAAACTGTGGAGGAAGTCAAAGGGCAGGGAGAGCTGATGGAGTCTGAGGGTCCCAAAGCCCCGGTAGAGAGTGAGACAAAGTCAGAGCCACAGTCAGACCAGGGGACAGAACCAGAGGAAGCTAAGGAGGAGCCATTGGGTCCCGATGATGTAGTATGTGACTCCTGCATCGAAACCCCCTGCAGGGCTTTGAAGTCCTGTCTCACCTGTATGGTGTCCTACTGCGAGGCCCACCTCCGGCCTCACCTGGAGAACCCAAAGTTTCAGAACCACAGGTTGGTGGAGCCACTAAGGGACATTGAGCGGCGCACCTGTGAGAGTCACAAGTGGCCCTTGGAGCTTTTCTGCTGTGCTGATTCCTGCTGCATCTGTCAAGACTGTTTAAAAGAAGAGCACCGAGGTCACAAGACAGCCCCTGTGGAGGAGGCCAGGAGACAGATAGAGGCAAGTAACTATTTTTAAATCTCCAGGATTTGTAAATTAAGATGAAATTCTACATAACTTTAAAAATCTATTCTCAATAAAGCATGGGAGTTTAAATGGACTCATTCCAATTGTTAAAAAAAAAAAACATGCTTTGTTGTATTTTAGTATGTTAGATTTTTTATTGTAGTTTGAGAAACAAAAATGAAAACTAAATACAGAAACTGAAAAATTATTTCAAACAAATGAGGAACTTTCTAAACTTCCTCATTCATAAGTGAACACTTGTTCTAACCACAATGGTAATCATGTGTCAGTGTCCACTATTAAGGCCATAAGATATCTCTATGTCCAATCCTCAGCTTAAGTTAGATTCCTAGAGAGACACTTTTTATTCTCACATGGAGGTGTTGCAAAACCTCAAGCTGTTTATTAGCTGTAAAGGAAGAGAGAACAATTACATTTCTCGTTTGAGAAACAAGTGATGATACAGTTATCAGTAGATAGCAAAAAAGATACTTTTTATTCTCAATGTTCTGCATGGGTTATTACCAGAGTAAAAATCTGTACAACCTCACTTCCCACACCATACCTTAAAGTCATTCTGAGTAGTGGGTACAGTCACATGAAAGAGACTCCCTGTTGTTTTCTTGTGCACAGCCAGAAGAAATCCAAAGATTTGAAACCCCTTCATCCTGATCAGGCTCCAAGAGGAGCCCTTGGTTTTAGTTATCTTGGCAAGGTGTGAAGTTTTTGCTGGTCCTCTCACTTTAAAGTCAACAATTGCTTCCCCGAGTCAAGTTGGCCTGGGAAATTCCACTAAATAACCAGCCGAAAGGTAAAGCTTCGATATACTAGTCTACCCTCACCGATGGCCAGATGATATTTAAAAATAAGATCTTACATATAGACCTTTGATGACATTCCAATATAAGCTGAATAGGTTAAGGTGAGAAGGTGGGGTAGGTGATTTCTGTGGCATCTCCATTCTGAAGCTTTTTGAGTACCTCATATTGGGAGCAGCCTCTGGGGTTGGCCTTGAACTCCCTTTCACCACATCGGCATCTGAGGATGACGACGGAAGTAGGGTTGGAATTATACAATGACAATAAGTAATAATGTTAGGGGTGGTGGATTTCACAACACTTATCTTTTCCCCAAAATATAAATATTTGAAAGCTGACCTATAGAATACAAATGTGTGAATTGATGTCCCTATAATATTAGAGACATTTTTTACCTTTTAACCTAAATTTAAAGAACTAAAAGTAATATTACCTGTCTGCTAGTTGGAACTTCTGTGTTTCTCAAATCAGGACTAAAAACAAATTTAATAAACAGATCAAAACCCTTTCAGACCTCTGCCTGGAGTGGCACTGCCATGCCATTCCTGAGTTGGACCACTTTTTCTGAACAAATTCCACAGGCAATGAATTTCTGCACTCGTTTAATATATCTTTGACCTATAAGGACATGCCTACTCAAGAAAAGGAAACTGAGATTAATGTTTCCCTCGGGGTCTGACTCTTACTGGAGATGAATCTTGGAGTAACATAATCTCCTCCTAGTCGTCTGGACCTGCCTGAGGAATTTCGACTTGTCTTGCTATATTGGCAATGAATGAAAGTTTTGAAAGAAATGTGTGTTAAAGAGATGTTACATCGCAACAAAATGGAGAAAACCAACATGTAGAATGAAATGTCTACATGTTTATGTCTGCATATTATCAGTATGTTTGCTTGTGACATGATTTCAATGAGACTTGTTCACATCTCTGTTTTCTTCTTGTGATCACAGAAAGAGCTGAGGGAGAAACAAACACAGATGGTAAAGATGGTTACAGCAGGAGATAACGCCATCGACAAACTCCAAGACAACAGAGTTTCTATAGAGGTAAACATAAGAGGTGACTAATTTGTAAAATGATTCACAGGATGTATGACAAAAACATGTCACAATGGTTTGCTAATTATATGGGTGAAGCAGGTAGTTTTAGTGTAAAAGTTTTGAAGGCACACTGGAAAAACAGGTTTCTCTGTCAGGTCATAGCAATGGTGTAGTAACCCTATGGTAGTGAGGAAACAAATATTTGTCTTTGAGGTTGGATAGGTATGTCACATCACTGTGTTGCTTCACTGCACTCTCGGCATGTTATATTTCACAGCAATCAGTGACAAAGGTACGATCTGTGATCGAGACCCAGTTCCAAGGGCTTCAAGTGATGGTGGAGAAGGCCAAGAAGGAGGTGACGGAGATCCTGGAGGCTGAGGAGAGCCAGGCGCTGAAGCAAGCTGATGGCATCCAGGTTCACCTGGAGCAGAGGTGCACAGAGCTGAAAAAAGTTCAAGCCCAAACGGAGAAACTGTCCAAAAGTAAAAATGATGTAGACTTCCTGCAGGTGAGGTCAAGCACCTTTACAAAAATAATAATGATAATAATAAATCCGATTCATGTAGGCCTACAGAAAAACATTGTAAATCCAATGATATAGACAGATTCAAAACCAATTACTTTTGTTCCAATTTGGTGCCATCAGTTCTTCATTCTAATTTGAGTTTTCCATTTAAAAAACCTACTGCGTTAATTTCAGACTTCAGCAATTACTCTCCCTGAATTAGCGTATAGCCACAGTGGATAATTGATTGAATTGTGTACAGTTACCCAAATAACAATTATACAGGAAGTTAGATGGCAGCATTTTAAATGACAAAAAAGAACAATTGTATTGAACTTCAGTGCCATATATTTATACATACAGCACACCAGCAAGACAGACAAGTTTTCTTGTATTATTGGGCAATGTGCTTACGATAATCAAAAATAAATCTTAAACCTTACAAAAATTTGGCCATGTATCTTGAAAGATTTTGATGATTGTTTTAAACTGTCAGAGTGAATTGGCCTTTTAAGTCAACAAGAATCATTTTAAATTTGGGAGAATATTTACTCAAAATTTGTCATTACAGTCTTCAAATTCCTGCTTTAGTTATTTAATGTTAATGGTTGAAACCTTGAAGACAGAAGTCCTCAACATCTGATGGCCCTTTTCATTTCTGAAATGCTCTTTGTTTCTCAGGAATATGCTGAGTGGAAGAAAGAAGCCACTGATAATTCTCTATCTGGTATCTATGTTGGCCTGGAAGATCGTTTGGACTCCTTCAGTCAGGTGATCCAGGAGTCCACAAGCAACCTTTGTGACATGCTGGTCTCATACATTCAGAAAGTCAAGGAAAAATGCAACAGTGGTGAGTAAACCTACTTAACACCAAAGAAATCACAGTCCAATCAAATGTTTCTTTGGTTGCTTGAGCATGTTCACACAAGCCAATAATTTCTAGCTAAGGAATGCTTTGGCACATGCTTGAGTTCAACGATGCATGAAAACTTGGTCATGGTTTTTGCGTGTTATTTAAATAAGATCATCTTCAGGAGCATGGTGGCTTTGAATACTTGATCAATTGAATGTTTTTGGTTGTTCTGTTTCAGATGAAATAGGAATAAAGATAACCGTTCAAACGAATACTGCAGCCAAGCATGACGTATCCAAACCTGACCCACAGACACGTGCTGAGTTCCTCCAGTGTAAGTGACATTTAGTCAGAGCACATAGTTATGCTTACCTACACATTATTATTAAGAAATTCACTTTCTCCAAAATCCAGCTCTCTCCCCACTGTCCAATAACATTCAATTTAGAATTGACTACTCCAAATTATCCTTCAGTGTAAGTGTGTACATCCTCAGTGGTCTTTCTTGTGTGTCCCTGGGATGATCTGGCAATCTTTCCAGAATGTACATAACGTCTTGCATTTTAGGACACATTTTTGCACATATTTTGTACACACAAATAGTCCGTGAATTTACCCAAGAGTGTCGGCTCTATTCTGTCAGCACCTTCTCCTCAATTATTTTTGCAACATAGTTAACTTATTAAATTTCTTTCTACATTTACTAGATGCCGCTCAAGTAAGTTTCGATGCTAACACGGCCCACAAATTCCTCCGCCTGACTGAGGAAAACACAAAGGTGACCAACACCACGCCCTGGCAGCATCCTTATCCCGATGTTCCAGAACGCTTTGAGCACCATCGGCAGGTCCTGGCTGCTGAAAGCTTCTATGTAGGTCGCCACTACTTTGAGGCTGATGTTAGTGGTGAAGGCACGCATGTCGGGGTCACATACAAGAGCATTGACCGGAAGGGGGATGAGAGCAGCAGCTGCATTACAGGAAACGCATTCTCTTGGTGTCTCCAGTGGAACGGGCGAACCTACTCAGCGTGGCACAGCGACGAGGAGACGCCACTGAACGTGGAGAAGTTCACTCGAATTGGTGTTTATGTTGACTTTTCCCAAGGCCTTCTTTCTTTCTATGGAGTGGACAATACCATGACACTCCTTCACCAGTATCAGGCCCAGTTTCTAGAGCCACTTTATCCGGCTTTCTTCTTGCCCAAGAAAGAGAATATTGTAGTTCTGGTGGCTCCTGGGGAACCGTTACCGCTGAAAAGCCCCTCTCCCCTTACTTCACCAGAAGATGGACCCTTTGTTGCACAATCCTAAACAATAAGAGCTTGAAAAACTGAAGTGTTACATCATTACATCTGTAAAAGGGAAATGTGGAAATTTTTTGACATGTTCAACTTGTTTGCTTAGTTGTGGCTTTGGGACTACTGTTACTGGAAAATGTTCTGTTATTGTTCTGCATGGAAATAAAAATGTGTTTAAGTTTGTAGTAAAGTAAGTCTTTGTTTACAGAGATCAGTTTTCCAGCTTAACTTGTTTATATCTATAAACAAACAAGCTTCACATCATGTTCCACTAACATGACAAACACTGGTCTGAACCATCTCAGCTTTGCCTCTTTGACACAATACATCACAGCGGTTATCAATACCAAGTTGTAAACCTTCCTTTTAGTCCTTCTGTCACAAATCATTCTTAACACTTGTCCCTATCAACACTGCTTTGCCCTTCTCATTCATTCAAACATATTCATCTTCAGTACAAGTGCTACTTGTAGCTTCACTGTTCTACTTGTTTCTCTCTTTCTCACATATACCTACTCTGTCGTGCTCCATGCTGTCTCTGATCTTTATTCCCAGTATTCCTCTATCTCTCCAAATTTCTATAGCTGCATCATCCAAAGCATGGTGACCAACTGCAGTGCAGTTACAGATGCACCCCTAACATCACAAATGAATGTCAAATTGATGTCAAAGCTATTACATAGATAAAATAAATATTTTTCTTCTTTTGTAAAAATGGTATGTAATGCATTTTTTTTTACGTATAGAATATTTTCAAAGTTCTAGCATCAATTTCATTGAATTGAACAGAAACAGTAATTGAAATAATTCTTAAGAGGAGGCAGGTAAAAGGGTTTTCAGTACAAAGCACTGTGGGCTGCTCCATTATAAAGTTTTTCATAAAATCCCAAATTAGAGTGTTTTGTATTGATCACCGTGAACATATTGCATATGCCTTTCACGCAGTATGTTGCTTTTTTTTAGCTTGCATCTACTGTCAAATTAAATTGTTAACTTAGTAGCTTATTAAAAGCTATTACTAATCATATTGAGTCTTGTTGAAATCGATTTTGTGTTGTACAGATGGGAGGGGAGGGAAATGATCAGTCACAAAGAGAAACACTATTTATTACTCCGTTAATTAATTATTAGCAAATAATTTACCCGATTTTGACTTCATATGCAGAATACATTCCACAAGGGGGTTTCGCCTGCATTTTAAAACCACCATACTGACGTGATGGCGTCAGTCGACGTGACTAACGCGTCACGAAATGTGACGTGTCACAGAGTATGTAACCAGGAAGAGTGAACGAAACTTCATCATGCTAACAGGAGTAAGAGGAAAATACTCACTTATTTTATTTACATTTAGACATATCACACAGTTTGTGCTGGCTCTATGATGTTGTGGAAAAAACTGTTGATGAAAGTTGTTGTTTTTTTCTTATTTCCAGTGAAGGCGAGCAGCTAACTCGCTAATAGTGTTAGCATGCTAAACATACCAGCTACATGTTAAGTTCCGAAAACATTTGTCTGATATCAACATTTTCTCGTGTTTTGTATGAAGTTCATCAATAGTGCTCTTTTCGTTTGTATGCTTTATAATGTTCTCAGCTTGCTTACTAAAGTGTACTTGTTCTCTATTTTAAATTGCGTTTAACGGCATTATAAACAATGCTTTTAAAATCTCCAAAATTGCTAACATTCGCTTAGAAAAGCTGAAACTTACGTCAGGAAACTGGCACGTCATGTTTTTATCAAAGGGCTTTGTTAATTGTAAACCTAATGTATAATATCGAAGCTGTTTTTTTACAAAAATCTTGGGGTCCCTCAAGTTTCTTTGCATCTAAAGTAGTTTTGATCAGTATTTTTCAGATTGTATGGATCAAGCTGTACTATATGTTAGTATGTATGTTGATATGCAGGTTTATTTACAGAAAACAACTTATTTAATGAGCTTATAAATGTTTTCTAATCCTGTTTTTAACACAAAGCTAAAAATTTTGTTGCTGTTACAAGCAGCAGAACGTTCAGTGTGTGTTAAAGATGCAGCTCCGACGGGGCTTTCGCTCAAACTCTTGTAACCTCTGATCAATCCATATGGACACGTCTGAGTTTTATTTAGAATTAACTCTGTGTCTCTGAGGATAAAGCCTCTTCCTTATTGATCCCTCAGGATACCAACGATGAAGACGTGTCTCTGTTTGATGCCGAGGAGGATGCAGGGAAAAGGTCAAAGAAGAATATCAAGTAAGTTTACAGAGTTCTGATGGGATTAACTTTCTGTGTGCATTTTTAAGTGTACCTAGCAAATATTGTCCCAGGTTTTTATTTCAATTTGTACAGCATTCAGGCAAATGAGTCAGATGTTTACCATTTTATGAAGACAGAAAAAATAACTGACAGTATTATTTCTTCTGAGCTGTTGTTTTTAATGGAGTAGAAGAATGAAAATATATCCCACCCTACTTGTGGTAATTTATCAAACAGGTGATCATTCCGGTTTACTTACGCAGACCCTATGAAGTGTAATAAAATAGTTGTTAGAGATTAGATTTTTTTTTCTTTATCAAGAAGAAGAAAAAAACGAGTCATATACAGGATAATTTTTTTTGTGTCATTCACATCTTGACTCTTTGAGTCATTGAGTGTTTTCGATAAGCTGTTACATCAGTTAATATAAATTTTTTACGTAGCAACTTTTCAGGATGAATCATGGATCTTTTTGTGTATTAACCTTCATTAAAAATGATTCAAATGAGTCTTCTCTGGCCTCTGTTGAGGAAAAAGTGTTGCACAAATTTAATTCACAGTCGATGACTCCTTCTCCTTAATGTCTAGTGATAGTTCTAATGTGGCTTTTCTTTCAGCTGATTTCTAAACAGATCACTCATGAATACCACCTTCTGCTTCTATCATTTTTTTATATCTGCAAAAGTATTATCCTACATTTTTTTAGGCTGTATTGATTTGAGTTTTCTCTCTGGCTTGCTGAATTCCACTTCTGCATCTTTGTTGTTAGGCTATCAATAATTTTACCTACATGGTCACATTATTGAGCTCAGAAATAAAATAATAATACAATTCTGTAACTGGCAGTAGTAATGGGTGGAGTGAGTAGATTTTAAATGATGCTATAAATCTGTGGCAGGCATCCTGTGGCGTCCTTCTTCCACCTCTTCTTCAGAGTCACTGCTACGTTTGTCTACCTGTTCTGTGAGCTCGTCAGCAGCAGTTTCATCGCCTCCATGGTCACGATCATCCTTCTGCTCTCCTGTGACTTCTGGACTGTAAAGGTGGGCATTATTTTACCATCCTAAGGTTATACTTTAAAGTAGTTAAAGTGTTGTGTGTCTGTGATCAATGATGGTAAAAGGACCCCTCAGTATGGTCTAGATGTCAGAAACACTTATGTTTTTGCTTCACTTTGCTTTGAATAAATAGCTTGGTGGTAAATCTAATTTTCTTTGATCAAATTTGAGAAAATGAGCATTTGTTAAATTACCAAAAATTATAAATAATTTGGCTGATATCTATGCTAAGCTGGACCAAAATAGTTGCCGTGCATGGCTGTCCGCTAATGTGATGGCTGCAGTTCAATTCAAAAGTATTTTATTGTTCATAAAGGGAAATTAAGTAGCATGTTAGACTTGTTTAATATTGATATGTATGTTATTCTTGGCAAAATAGAAAACATGACATGCCTAAAATGGATTAAGGTTTCTAATTATCTTTGATATCATGGGTCTTATTTTCAGCAGATATTTTGACAGAGTTGTAGGATTTGCACCGTTGTAATGAGGGCTGTATTCCACTGCTGTAGCCAAGCATGCTTTTTATCTGTAGTATCAAAAGAAAATGACGTTTTTATATCCTACTTCAACCTACATCATCTGCTGTGATTAATGAATTTTTTTGCTCGTAATTGTAAAACTGAAAACAAGAATTAAAAATGATAAACTAGCAATCACAAAGAAAGGCTTTGTGATTGCTAGTTGCCTCCATTTTTAGACAGTTAGATTTCTAAGAAAGGCTAAAGGTACGTCAAGAACTCCAGCTTCAAATTTAATATTGCAGTAGACATACCAAAAGAAGAGTGTGTTTTCTCTTTAATTGTGTTAAAATGTCTGTGTGTGAAATGTTGGTTTCCAGAACATCACAGGCAGGTTGATGGTTGGTCTGCGCTGGTGGAATCAGGTGGATGATGACGGGCAAAGCCGCTGGGTGTTTGAGTCGCGGAAGGTATGAGATTTCTCTTCTTTCTTCTGTTTTACCCAATTCACTTCCAGGCCTTTAACCTCCCATGTTGTTGACATCGAGGGATACATGAGTTTGATAAATGCATCTGTTCACTGTCAGTGACCCTTATGGTATTCACAGATGGTGTAACTGTGAGAATATCCTGTTTCCTTCAGGGTACTGGGAAGCAGCAAGCGTCGGATTCAGAGTCCCGAATTTTCTGGCTTGGACTGATAGTTTGCCCAGTCATCTGGGGAATCTTCGCCTTTAGCACACTATTTGCATTGAAGATTAAATGGATGGTAAGTTGCTTCATGGAGTAGCTACAGATCCGTTCAAAGTTCACATTCGCCCATCATGTATGAATGTCATAGTCATTTTTGGCCTTTAGGATTCATTGAAGCCATTATTTTTGGAATGGAATGATTATATAACACACAACTGCAATTTGTGTTGTTTTTTTTTTTGTACAGACCTAGTAATGTTTGGATAAATATTCGTTAGCAAGTTGCATCTCAACCACATCATGTTTTGATTATCACTCAATAAATTCCTTCTTCATATTGGACCACCACTCTTTTAATCACAATTGGTAGAGCTAATTTAAATCCAGTATAAAAATAGTTGATTTTTTGCCATTTAATAATGGTGTATACCTTTTCAATAAGCTTGCAATATTTAGATACACTTTTTATTATCAAAGGAAGAAATAATGTGGATATTAACACCGTTAAACCATTAGTGACAGTACTGTATTCTTCTTTAGCCTGTAGTGATCATGGGTTTGGTGCTGCAAGGAGCTAATCTGTACGGATATGTGCGGTGTAAAGTGGGAGCAAAGACCAGCTTAAAGAACATGGCCACGAATTATTTTGGCCGACAGTTCCTGAAACAGGTGAGGGGACTTCAGATCAAATGACTGAAGATTTTCTTTCTCTGCTTTTCTAAAGTAACACTGACATTTTTGTCATCCACAGACGCTGTCTAAAGAAGAGGAATCGTAGAGTTTTGCACATTGCAGTTTTCCTAATATCGTAGAATAAGTAGAGACAGGAATCTTTCCAAAATGGACTAAAGACATTGGTTTTGTTTTTAATTTGATATTCAAATCCTCTGAGTTATTTTCATGTTTTATTCAGAGGGTGTTTCTCAGTAACTGAACTTGCGCAATAAGCACTCTTTACTAACACCTCAGACATGAGTGACAAAATCCAGCGATGTTAACCTGACTAGTTTGTGTTGTAGTGTCATAAATATATCTTTAGTTTATCTTTAGTTTGTGTTTTTGTTTCTTTTTTCAATAATTTAATGCAACCTTAAGCAGCTTTTCAGATGCTTTGTAAAGAAGTTTTCTTGCACAACAGGCTGTGTAAAGTATTCCTTGTAAATATGTAAGTAAAACAAACTATGTGGAATATTTTTTGTGTAATTGCATTTGGGATATTTTTTTCTGACTAGTTTCCTGTTTTTAGCTATGCTAATTTATTATCCAGAAACGAAAGTTCAGGTATGTGCATGTC